AAGGGTTGGAACACTTTCCCTATGAAGAAAGGTTAAAGCGCTTGGGGCTCTTTAGCTTGGAGAAACGACTGCTGAGGGGTGACATGATCGAGGTTTGTAAGATTATGCATGGGATAGAGCAAGTAGATAAAGAAGTACTTTACTCCCTTTCTCACAATACAAGAACTCATGGGCACTCAATGAAATTGCTGAACAGTTGGGTTAGAACAGATAAAAGGAAGTACTTCTTCACCCAAAGAGTGATTAACACATGGAATTCAGTGCCACAGGAGATGGTGGCGGCTACAAGCATGGGAACTGGATAAACATATGGAGCAGAGGTCCATCAGTGGCTATTAGCCACAAGGTATAGATAGGAACTCTCAGTCTGGGGCAAGTGATGCACTGTATTCTTGGTGCTTGGGGGGGACCACAGTGGGAGGGCTTCTAGTGTCCTTGCCCCACTGATGGACCTCCTGATGGCACCTGGTATTTTTGGCCACTGTGTGACAGAGTGTTGGACTAGATGGGCCATTGGCCTGATCCAACATTGGCTTCTCTTATGTTCTTATGTTCTAAAACACTTATGCAAAACTATTTGGTTATAATAATTATAGTAAACATTGCAGGAGGTGACAGCTAGATGATATAGATAAGTATATGTGACCCCCATTTTATGAGTATGTGTTATGTCTGTTTTTGTTTGTTTTCGTTCATTGAAAAAAAATTTTTTAATAAAAATTGTATTCTCAAGGATCTCATACTGTTGCAACATAGTCCCTTAAATGAAAATTAAAAGAATGTTTGCAGGGATTGGGTATAGAAACTAGATAGCACTGGTTCTTTTAAAAAACATGTTATTGTGAAGTGCAAGTATTTGTACTAAACTATCCACCAAGGGGGGGCAGTTTATCCAAATGCCTTGAGATGTTCTGTCTAGATTCCATAGTTCTTGGATACATCTACTACCCTCTATAAAAAAATTTCCTATTTTGTTACTATTTTCCCCTAAAAATTCAAAGTCCCTGCTTCATTTCAGATTTTCAGGAGGCTCCCAATGTTCAGTAATTTGGTAGATTTGATCTTGAGTGAGTAATTCATACTCAAACAGTGGTCATGGGACAATATGATAAGAAACAGAAACAGGAAGTCTTCTGGCACCATAGACAGTGCAGACGCACTCTGGGTGGCAGCTAAAGAACCACAGATGTAAGTATGCTTAACCCCACAGACTGAGAACAAATCCTCCTTCAGGATATAATAAGGGCCACTCAGGCTGCAGTCACACTGGAGGCTCGATGTGATCTGGTGGCGCTTCTATTTGTGGTAGTTTAAATTTTCACAGGAAGTTTTGATCAGACATCCCACCCTGAACTAGCTTTACTGCATGCTCGCCCCATGGTCAATTGTTCAGATTGTTGCAGCATTTTTTAAAAAACTTTTACCCATGCACATAAGCATGTATCTGAAGCTCTGGCTCCTTCTTGACAGCTCCATAATCCCTCTGCCAAGTATTCTGGGACCAAGAACAGGTCTGCAGCACAGTGAGACAAGGCTCTCTCGTTCCCCCAGCACCTTTTCTAGTGCTGAAATGCCCATGCCCTCCCACTGCCATAGTGGCACTTGAAAAGGTATGGGGGGGGTACGACAAGGATACCTTGTCCTGCTCTGCCATGGACCAATCCAGGATCATGCCCTCACTGCATTTTTTAATTGCCCGTTTTAGGATTGAAAATGGCAGCAGTGCCCTCATGGCAGACAGGAGGATGCTGTGGCATCTATTTTGGCCCTCAGCAGACACACAGTTTGCTTGATAATAAAGCAAAATCGACAGTTGCTGTGACCTTTAAGGGCTATGTAGGGTTGCCAACTCTGGGTTGGGAAATACTTGGAAATATCGGGAGTGGAACCTGGGGAGGAGGGCAAAGTTTGGGGAGGGGTGGGAACTCAGCTGAATACGATGCCATAGAGTGCATCCTCCAAAGCAGCCATTTTCTCCAGGGGAACTGTTCTCTGTAGTCTGGAGATCAGTTGTAATACCAGGAGATCTCCAGTCCTCACCTGCAGGTTGGTAACCCTATGTGTGTGAATAACTCTGGGTATGTGAAGAGAATTAACATGCTGAACATACTGTTTAATAAAAGAAAGCAGACAAGCCTTAGTCAGGTCTGCCACTTGGCTTACTCAGGTGTGCCAGTCTTCTGCTGTATAAAAGGGGACAGATCCTTCCTCTAAGAGGATAATATCTCAGTCACATAAACATTTTCAGAACAAGCACTGTATCTGAAATGTAATCTAGCAGGAATCGCTGTGCCTCTTTCTGCCTTTCAGCGTACAGAGATGACATGCACACACAGAGTGTGAGTGAAATCAAGATCATATTTTTTTTAGCAACATGCCATAACTCACCCTTTGTATCAACAGTAAGTTAATATAAATAAATCATTTACCTCTTTTTCTTTCCTGGCTACCGCACATGTCACAGCCTTGTGCCCTTGGTGACCATCAGCAAGGCACTTCTCACAAACACATGCAAGGTCATTGTGGCAGAACCAACTAAGGTGATTCTTGTGGGCCTCACAGCTCTGCATGTCAATGTCCCTCAGTGGGTCCCTGAGCTTATGGGTCTGCAGTCTGGCATTCTCCAAGTGTGGACGCAAATGATCCTGGCAGTAATTGACCATGCAGGTCAAGCAAGACTTCACTGCCTGGCTCTTGTCACCCAAGCAGAAATCACAAAGAACCTCCTCTTTAGCTGCTGTGCCCCCTTCACTCACCAAGCCAGTCAGGCCTGGGGGCTCCTCCTCAGATCCATTTACACTCAGATTGCTTGCAAAGTTGGTTCCACTGCAAGATATATCTTTAATTTCAGGTTCTAACAGAGGTTCTGCTTCATTTTTCAGTTCTCCACCTTCACATTCTTCACAAATTGGTTCTCCGTTTCCCACAGGAATCGAGTCTTTAAGGGCCAGTTCTTCAGACATCGTTTCCAGAGTGCTTGATTCAGGGTTAGCCATTTCGTAAGATTTCCTGTAGACAGAGCTTTTTCTACAGCAATCACAGCTGCTTTCTAAGTTGTTTTCACTGCAACTGCTGCACACAGCCCAGAAATGAAAGAAGTCACACCTATGTTCCTGAGCACCTCAGGATATTAACTCTTTCTTTACTTCTATCAGAAGCATGACTAAAGTAAGCTAAGCTATGTTTCTGAAAAGAGGAAGGATAGGGTTCCCGTCCCAGTGATGTAAGCAACCAGCTTGTTTGGCCAGTTCATGTTGAGAGAGCTCAGATAACCACCACTCCTCACATGTTATCTCTCTTCTTTCAGAAAGGAAGAAGGAAAGCCTAAATCTTTGCCCTTTTCCCTAGAAGCTGCTCAGGAAATACCTGTAGCTATTACTCATTCTATCACCAAGATCTTACAAGCTAATTCCTGCTTTTGTGAAATAGGTGCTAGGCTCAAAGAGTAGTGAAAAAAGCCAGGCAAAATTGTAAGAATATAAATATGCCCCACTTTGCTCTAAATTGTGTTTAGTTAGTCAAATATCTCAAATAGACAGGGACAAGTGGAGACACACAAGAAACTTGCAGGATGGTTATCCCATTCCTCACCCCTTTGCTTCCTCCTCTCTCCCCCTACCTCTCTCACGCTCTTTCTCTTTCTGCCCCCATCACTTTCTCTTTTTGACCCCATCACTCCCCCAGCTTCCTGCCTACTTCTTCCCCCACCCCGCACAGCAACAGCGGAAATGGTGGCAGCGCTCCCAGCCACCCACCTGCTTCCTCTCCCCCCACAGCAGTAGTGGTAGCTCTCCAGGAATTACAACGAATCTCCCAGGTTCAGATATCAATTCAATTTAGGGCTGCCAGCTCCAGGTTGGGAAAAACCTGGAGATTTGGGGGTGGAGCCTTGGGACAGTGAGGCTTGGGAAGGCAAGCAGCCTCAGCAGGGTATAATGTCATAGACTCAACCCTCCAAAGCATCCATTTTATCCAGGAGAACTGTAGCCTGGAAATTAGTTGTAATTCTAGGAAATTTCCAGACCCCACATGGGAGTTGGCAATCAAATAATGTACC